ATCGTATAGTAAAAAATTATGTTAATAATTAATATTGTTAGATTTATATTATTAATCCGAGAAACTTTCTCACGTCACTATTTTAATGTCTTATTTCTAACGTCAGTTCATTTTAATGTCTTATCATAATTTTTATATGACTTTTCAGTTTCCGTTGATGGTACAGGTGCGTTTGCGAAGTCAATTTTACTTTACTAACACTTTTACATTACATTCAATGGTTACACCAGGCACTTTTGTAAAGTTTTCCAAGTTTCTTTGAAAAAGAAGAATCCCCAGCATCGTGAATGTTGTCTTCATTTTCAGAGTCACTATCAATCACATAGGTTTCCTGCCTTACGTTGATATCGCCCGAATCAGAACTACATTCTGAAAAATGATCATCTTCTGAATCACTATAAACAGTCAGATAAATTATCGTCAAAAAATTCAACGGGAAAATTCTCCTTCGCCGAAAGAATGTGCGAGGTGCCATTTTTTTAACAATTTAACCAGCGAAGAAATTCAAGCCAACTTGAACTGACTTAAATTAAACATTTTTCCACAAACTGAGAATTTCACAATATTCAAAATCGAGCATCGCTCAGCCACGATCAAATTGTACAATACCCAGCCAATTGTTAGAAAAACGTCATACGACAAAGTCCCCGGTCAAACAATATGTTAATAGAAATCTATTTCATTCGCTAGCTAAATATCGTAATTACATTTTGGACGTTTTATATATTTCATACAAAATCGAGGAAATCATCTAGTGACTAATATTTCACTACATCTTCTTCTTTGTGTAACCAACCATGTGTTTCGTACATTTCTTTCATACTTGTTAAATGTTTATTGTCGAACGATCAGGAACTACATGCCTATCACCAGCTTCTGATTGGTGTTCCGCTTGTTACAACGGGGGCAGTTGCCTCGAGACGCGTTTCGGTATCATGTGCCAGTGCCCGAGATTTTGGACGGGGCCTCAGTGCAAGGATCCGATCACCTGTCGCGATCTACCTTGCAAGCAAGCATCCGCTTGTCACGATTACGTGAGTGGAGACATTAGCAGATCACTTTAGCATGCCGATTAATCAACCGCGACCCATATCGAATATACATACCGTGTCTCTATGTGGCCTGTTGCTTTGTTTGTTACGTGTCTCGCTTCGAGTAGCCAGGCGGTTATTACTGCACCTGCGAGCCAGGATGGACGGGCCCCGAGTGCTCCATCGACGTGGACGAGTGCTCCAGCGATCCATGTCGCAACGGCGGCATCTGCATCGATCAGCAAAATAGCTACTACTGTCAATGTCTGGCAGGATACACCGGTAATCCACTCGTCGATTCATAAATTCTTTCATCTGCTTTCGCTTCTCGAAATTCTACGTACGCCAGTGTACCATGCGTTCTGAGATGTGCTAACCGGCGAATTCGCGAACCCCTGTGCTTCATGCTATTCGCTTCATCCATCATTTTGTCATTACACTGCTGAAAAATTACTAGTTTTCCTGAATCTTTAATAAATTAGTGTTGGATCATCCAAATACCTGTTATTTGCCTCTCTTCTTTTGCAAAGCAACAACATTTTACAAGAAGCTGACTAATCTCTCAATCACTTTTTTTTCACGCACAAGTTGAAAGATTTTAATGGGACGCGTTTCTTGGCAGGTAAAAATTGCCAGATCAACGTGGACGAATGCTTGTCGCAGCCTTGCCAGAACGGCGGCACCTGCATCGATCGAATCAACGGCTACATATGCAACTGCACGAAAGACTTCATGGATGAGAATTGCGAGCGTGAGTTCAATGCGTGCGCGGTGAATCCCTGCCAGAACAACGGGAACTGCACGTTGATACCGAGGTCCCGGCGTGAGTTCGTTTGCGAGTGCCCGCGCGGCTTCGAGGGGAAAGTCTGCGACGTGAACGTGGACGACTGCGTCGACGTGATATGCCCTGACGGGAAAGTTTGCGTCGACGGCGTCGCTGGCTACGAGTGCAAGTGCCGCGAAGGTTACAGAGATCCTAACTGCACTCTTATCGTCGACCATTGCGCGACGAAGCCTTGCAACAGCGGCACGTGTATCGATCGCGGGGAACACGGTTTCGAGTGCAAGTGCAAAGACGGTTTCAAAGGTAAAACTTTCTCGTATGAAACTCGCATTACAGTTCGTTTTACAAGCTGCGTAATTCGTTCACTCGTCAATCCGTCATCCCCCTCGTTATTTCTTACTTCACCCTTACTTTCTTGATAATAAATCAGAGATTTCATATGCATACTATTGAACACCAGATTTGCTTTACTGTTTTGCGAACAAACTATGGATAATAAAATGAAAGTGTAAAGGTGCATTTTCTTTCAAAGAGACAATTATAGAATATTGAAAATCGCAAGTATCACACCTGGAATACCTGAAAATGGTACACGTTGTAACTTTAACGTTTAATATATCTGCGAAGTTTGCCTATTTCTCTACTGTGAATTTCTTCTTTGGTATTTTTAAATGCTTGAAAAAATAATTTACGTGGTATGTAAATGAATTTATTTGATAATGAAACGATACAAGAATAAAAGAACAAAAGAAATTTATCTTTAACACGTTCGGTGCCAAGCTATTTTTGCCTTTTGTTGTCGTTTGATATTTTGACTAGAGGTTTGATATATTATCACACAATCTTTCATTACATCATCAATCGATAATAAGTAGTTCTCTTGTTTAGAGTAGCTATCGCATCGTCTACCACTTGTGGTATTATCAAGTTTAACGTGTACCACCGGTGGTACACATGGCACGGAAACGTGTTAATGGTTTCATTCATATATTTTCATATATTATTTTGTTGAAGCAAGAAAGACGCATAGTTTGTTGAGACAACCATCGCCCATATTGTAATGAATTATAATAATTTAAAATATAATTTCGCGTAGAAACGAGTTTCAGCGTGTGCTGAAAACGGTCCGCCTGACAATGGAACGTATTATATAGATGACGTTGAAAAGACTGACGAAATACAGCTTCCTTTCCCTTTCCCTTTAAGCGCTAATCGATTGCTTAAAAATTCACGCAGGCAAGTTCTGCGAGGAGGATGTGAACGAGTGCGAGGTGGAAGGCAGCTCGTTATGCAACAACGGTATCTGCGTGAACACGGACGGCAGCTACAATTGTTTCTGCAGGCCAGGATTCTCTGGGGATCACTGCGACATCGACATCGACGAGTGCCTGTGCGGCCCGTGTAAAAACAACGCCACGTGTGTCGATGGCATTAACACGTTCGAGTGCCAATGCCCGGCTGGCTACTCCGGCAAAACGTGCGACATAGATGTGAACGAATGCGAGAGTAATCCATGTTTGAACGGCGCGACCTGCGTCGACGAGATCGCCAGTTACATGTGCATCTGCTCGCCTGGTTTCCGCGGGCTAAACTGCGAGATAAATATCGACGATTGCGAGCCATCGCCGTGCTTGAACTACGGCCAATGCATAGACGGTATAAACAACTATACCTGCGACTGCACCGACACCGGTTTCGAGGGAGCACACTGTGAGAAGAACATCGACGATTGTCGGTCGGGGCCGTGCGTGAACGGCGCCCATTGCGTGGACGATATCAAGAATTACAAGTGCCAGTGTTACGCCGGCTACACTGGCAAAAATTGCGAGGTCGACATAAACGAGTGCGAGAGCTCGCCTTGTCAGTATAACGGCACTTGCTTGGAGAGATCGAACATGGAATTGTACAAAAGCGACGCGTTAACGTTGCCATCGATATTTAACCAGGAGTTCAGTTACGCGAACGCGAGTGGGTAAGTGGGTAATAACAATGAGCTGTTTCTATTGTTATATTAAACAAATATATCTGAGGAGAGAAGAAAAAAATAAATGGTAATTGAATCGTCCCTTTTCTATTTCAGATACGAGTGCCTTTGCGTGCAGGGTGTTACGGGGAAAAATTGCGAGGTAAATATCAACGAATGCGACAGTAACCCCTGCCAAGCTGGAACTTGCGTGGATCGTATCGGTGGTTATACCTGCGAGTGTGACGAGGGATACGAGGGCGATCATTGTCAACACGATATCGACGAATGCAAAAGATACTCACCCTGCGAGCATGGTGTGTGCACCGATGGAAGAGCTGATTATACATGCACGTGCGAGCCGGAATACGGGGGTAAAAATTGTTCGGTGGAGTTGATCGGTTGTCAAGGGAATGCTTGCCAAAACGGCGGCACTTGTTGGCCGTATCTCGTCGACGAGACGGTACACAAATTCAACTGCACCTGCCCGAACGGTTATCACGGAGAAATTTGCGACTACGTAAGTCTCATTTCGTTTCATCTCCATTTGATTCTCTTCTCGTTTCTCCTTGCGTGAGCTTGCACGTTACTTAATTACTAAATCTGTCACTTATTTAAATGAACTACGCCTACGTTGTATCTTGCACAAAAATACGCGACACAGAAGAAGGTGCGTAGACCTTGCGAAAGTTGCAATTTCTTGTCGCTACATTTCTTATATGTATATATGTATATATGTAAAATTTCGCTTCTCTTCTTGTCGTAGGTAACGACAATGTCTTTGAACGGTAGCTCGTACGTTCTAGTGAACACCACTCGAGACGAAGGATACGACATACAATTTCGCTTTCGAACGACCTTACCCAACGGATTGCTCGCCATTGGAAAAGGCTCGACATTCTACATCCTCGAGCTCGTTAATGGCAAGTTGAACTTGCACTCGAGCCTTCTGAACAAGTGGGAGGGCGTGTTCATCGGCAGCAAATTAAACGATTCCACTTGGCAGAAAGTATTCGTGGCGATCAATGCCACGCACCTGGTGCTCTCGGCCAACGAGGAACAAACAATCTACCCCATCAGTTTAAACGAAGGTTCCAATTCAAATCACACGTCTTTCCCAATGACGTACGTCGGCGGTACGACCAATTACCTTCGACGATTAACCCATGGCCCAGCTTTCTTCGTCGGCTGCACCGAGGATGTCGTTATCAACGGAGAGTGGGTGTGTTCTTTGAATTGAACAAACAAACGATATATGCACATGTAATAAACTCGTGAAAATTTTCGTGAAATGTTGCTGTCACTGTCGTTGTTCCAGGTATACTCTGGTACCTCGTCGAAAACCGTGTACATGGAGAACGTTGAGCCAGGATGTCCTCGCGAGGCCCAATGTTCGCCAAATCGTTGTAAAAACGGTGGCCACTGCACAGACAGGTGGCGTGACTTTTCTTGCAAATGCGAGAGACCGTACCTCGGCCACACCTGCCAGTACAACATGACAGCGGCCACGTTCGGATACGAAAATATAACGAACGGATACGTGACGGTGAAAGTGTCCGACACGGCCAGGCGAGCAGTCAGATCGATCGTCGATATTTCCATGTTCATTCGCACGAGGCAAGACAGGGGCGATATATTTTATCTGGGCACAGAACCGAATCCGCAAACGGATCTCAAGCCTCAGGAGAAGACTTACATAGCGGCACAGTTGGAAGGTGGCGAGTTGCTTGTTAGAATTCAGTTCAACGGCTCGGAAGCTTACACCGTTGGTGGTGTGAAGCTGAACGACGGGAACAATCATCTGATACAGATAGTCCGAAACATAACGTTGGTGCAAGTGAAGATCAACGGTACCGAATATTTCCGGAAAACTATCAGCGCGTCCGGCCAGTTGAACGTAACTGTACTCTACCTGGGTGGTTTGCCACAAGCGTCCAGATACATTCGGCAAGTTGACAATCGTCAGATAGAAGTTTCGCAAACTCCACAAGTTAACTTCAAAGGAATTATTCAAGACGTTCAGATATCCAACGGTATCGAAACCATGGTAGTTGAATTCTTTCCCCTAAAGGTGAGGATTTTACTAAAAATTGCATGCAATGGGATACTGTGTAATATAGTAGCAATGATGTTATAGTTTTTTTTTTTTTTTTTTTTTTTTTTTACGTGGAGGAAATCTTCGATAAGAC